AACATAGTAAGTAAAGTAATATATCGTAATAATACTAATAGTAAATTTAAGTTAAATAATAGTTTAGTTCTTTATTCTTTATTAGTTTAGTTTACTTACTATACTATATATATATATATATATATATATATATATGTGTGTGTGTGTGTGTTTTCAATTACCTCTATATCATGGGGAAAATGACTTCATGTAACATGCTCAAGAACTTTTGTGTGAATAATAACTATTAGCCAAAATTTATTTCCTTCATGGATCACATAAGCATTTGTTTTATATCACTAATGTTAGTAATGTTCTTTTTTTGTGAATGTTATTTCTCAAAGAACAGACATGTTAACAGTTAGATATTTCAATTGAAAACAAACATTTTTGTGTCAACTATTACTCTCCTTTTTGTTTTATAAGATCTGACAAATCCAAGTGTGTACAGAGATCTCTCCAAATCTGTTGGTGCCTTGAATGAAGAACGACTTCAAAAATTAAAGGTGAGGAAATTCACACAATTCATATTAGGGGTAGAAGTGATGTTTCAAATTCCAAACATGTAACAATTTTGAAATTAATATTCATTAATGGGACACCATGCTAGGCACTGTTCACCATAAATGACTGATATGAATACTTTTGTTTCAACTAAGACTGTATGTTTTAATCCATCCAGCCTGTTGACTTTTGTTATTGAGTGAAAGGGGAAAATGACATTACACCTATTACAAACTAAAGTACTTGATATTTGTATGATAGACAAATAGTATTAATTTCCCAGTGAGGTAAAATTATGTACATGGTAATCACTGTTATAATGTTTTGAGAGGACAAGCATACATAATTGCTTTGTATAGTCATCACATATTGACATTTATTGAAATAAAAATTGTTAAAATGGTGATTTAAAGCCTTAAAATACATCAATTAATATCGGAAGGCTAATGCAATAAAACTAATGAAATGAAAGCCTGTTGAATAACAACATGAGACAACCTTGAGATCATCAAGGTTTTTCTAAGAGATTGTATAACTTACAATTATTCCTTCATGTAAGCCTATTAAATAAAGCCGGAAATATTCATGAGGTCCAAAAACCAGTAATTTCAATATAATAGTGAATTGAACTTTATAAGAATTAAGATTTTATGTAAAATAAGTATTTCAAGTTGTATCAGGCATGTGATAGTTATGGATTTTCCACAAAATTCAAGGCAAATATGGTTGTTGGTGAGATCATTGAGAAAATATTCATTTTGAATTATTCACTTGAATGAGCTGTAGTGAATGGCCATTGGGTATTTTCTGAGTAATCATAGAAAGTGTTTGCTCACGTTTTGAGTCTTCCTTCAAACAAGGCCACATTTTTGTGGACACTGATCAGTTTCATTAGGGAAATGAGAATTTGGCCAAGAATAATCATGTGAAAGCTCACATAAAAAAAACATGAGTTGGAACTGATTTCAGAAAAAGGTAGAAGGCGACTATGTGCTTGAAAACATGCATAAAGTAAGAGAACTTGGAAAGGCATTCTGTGTACTCTGTAGCCAATGTTTGATAATAGCAGTGTAATTTGCCTTTGCAAGCACATAAAATGGGGAAAAAAGTGATGCTTCAACTTTCAAAAGTTTTCTTGTAAGAAAGGATTCCTCCCTCATGCTCACCCTTTTTTCTTGGATTTTGTTACTGGTCACTCACCTATTGTATTTATTAAGTTAATTATTTATGAGGGATTAAGGGCTGCAAAAAGAATAACCAGTGAAAATGAGTATTAAATGTCATACTGAGATAACATATCGATGTTCAAATACCACTCTGGCGTAAGATATCTATGTAAAAATATCATACTAGATGTATCATGACTAAATAAATATATACTGAGGGTATAATAACTTTCATATACTTGGATCAAGATAATATATAAAAATATAGTGAGGTAACAAAACAACATAAAATTGTACTGGGGATAATATAAGTACAGAAAAAGATATACTGTGGGTAACATATTACAAAACTGTCATAGTACACGTGCATTATAAACTGTAACTGATATGCATCCCATTCTTTGTGTGACCACATCCATTAGAAAAAAAACTGTCAACTAGTCATCATGAACAAGTTTATGTGAAAAAGAAACTAACTAAAGCTATATTTTCACTGTCACAGGAATGTTAATAACACAGTTGTTTTGGTTTTAAAAACAGATTTTCCATAATTCAACTACACAGATTTTGAAAAATGATATTCATTTTTTTCTATCACATAAGGATTTTTTGCAAAATCAGGAAGAAAAAAACTTACTTAGATCAAATTATTATTTCATTTACTACAATGAACATTTTTTATTACTATTTATGTTAACAAAAATACAAACAAACTGAAGAAAAGGGAATAACATTGATGTCAAATGAATATGCATCCTCATTCATCCTGTTTTGTTTTTGTGAAATCTACATCTTTTAGTCTCAAAAATACATGTTGTGGTCTTCCTTTTATGTATTGTGTTATGACGTTGTGTGAAAAATCTGTATGTGATGGAGAAAAATGGATATCCTTTTCGATTTCAGAATACAAGAATTATTGTAGAACATGTAAAAATTTCAAGACAATAAAACCATTACAGGCATGTGTAATCTGTAATATCACAATAAAATTGGTCATTTGTTAAACTTTTTTTATATTTTTTTTACTGTAAAAGAAACCAAACATGCCTTATTATATTATTAGGATCATTCTTTCTTGAAGTTGAAATCCTAACTGGAATAGTGAATTCATTTAAATCAAAATACACCTTATGTCTCCAGGAAATTTATCATGTGTTCTTCTTCAGGAACTATATAAATGCCTGAATGTAATTTAAAAAATTGGTGGTTTGCAACCACTTATGGTTAGTAGCTGAACTGTTGAACATAAAATAAATTTTTCTGGTGATAGAGACCATAATTTGATTCAGTATTTCATGTTTTACATGGTTGTGGCTTTATAAAAGTGCTATAGATTCCAAGTCCTCTTAATATATTTATTATTTATTAGAGATATAAAAACCTAATTATTGGTTCTGTAAGTGCGAATTAAGTAATTGTTAATAATAATTGGGACACACAACCAACAAGAACATGTTGTTTACATCATTTAATAGTGGGTGGCATGCTACCAACAAAAATATGTTCACACAACGAGACATGCCATGTAAAAGAACATGTTGTTTATATAAGTAAATAGTAGATGACATTCCACCAGAAAGAATGTATTGTTTACATAATAAGACATGCCAAGGAGAAGAATATAGTGTTTATATAAGGGAACATTCCATGAACATGTTGCTTACATAAGGGGAAATGCCATGAACAAGAACATGTTGTTCTGAGATGATAACTCACCTCTACACACATAAATGCTATCTTCCTTATGCAGCTGCTTATGAGATTTTCATCTTACTGTCTTTGAGGTAACTCCCTCCTAAATTCATGTGTTTAATGTGAACTCGACTGGTACATGATGACATCATCATGCAACAAAGGCCCACCACCAGTAGGAGGACAACACAACCTCCATGCTCAGTAACTCTCCCTGTGCACTTGCACTCTTGATAACTTCATTCTTCTCCTCAGTATTTCATTGAACATATGTGATTCTCCTCAATGACAGCATCATCCTTAGATGAAACAGTGATCGGCTCACTAACCATCTTAGGTTAGGCAACAACTTTTCCCCCAGCCAAATTGTTTCCCAACAATAATGATACATCCTTAATTGGCAGAGTAGGTCTTACTCCAACCACAACTGTTCCTGAAACTAGGTCTGATGCTAAATAAATATTATGAAGAATAACATTAACAAAGTCTCTCTAAATACCCTGAGCAATAATAGACTCACCAGTGGCAGAACTCAAATCTAAGGGCAATACACCTTCTAACAACAGTGATTGAGTTGCCCCAGTATCACGTAGAATATGTATGGCTATAGGATTGCCAGTGTCATTTGTCAAAAACACAGAACCAACAGACACAAAAGGTCTAAATTCCTCCCTAATTACATCAACCTTTATATCAGTGACCAAATCAACAACATCAGGTGATCTGGTGAAACTACGTCTATATGTGGATGCAAATGTTGCCTCCTTTTCTTTTTCAGCACCAACAATTGGACATAACATGACTAAATTTTATACAAAAATGGCAGACTGGCCTTGATTGTTTTAAAGAAGTTTTATCCTGACTGTCAAAAAATTTCGAACTAGAGCAGCTGGATTGTTTAGAAGAATCCTCAAACTTTTAGTGGATTGACAAATACAGGTTCTTGTTGAGATGGTAGGAATTTCTTTTTATCAAAAGTGGTTTTATGTGTTAAAATGTAATCATCGGAAAGAGCGGCTGCTTCCTGTAGTGTTTCAACTTTCTTTTCATCCAAGTAAGTTTTGAGGTCGTCATGTGCACAACATTTAAATTCCACAATTAGACAAAATTGTCTTAGTTTGTCAAAACTGTTGCCAATATGCATAGAAATGCACCATCAATCAAAATAAACCTCTTTTTTTCATGGGCAAATTCCATATAAATTTGATTATCTTGCTTGCTATAACCTCAAAACTTTTGGCGATAAGCCTCTGGTACTAACTCGTATGCTTTGAGAATAGCTGCTTTAACCTTATCATAATTCATACAATCTTCTAGAGAGAGAGCGGCGTAAGCTTCTTGTGTTTTACCACTTAAGACACTTTGTAATAATAATGACCATTTTTTGGTGAGCCATTACATGGTTTGGACAACCTTCTCAAAATGTTGGAAATATTTATCAACTTCATTTTCATTAAATGGTGGTACTTTAACATATTGATTAAGTTCAAAGTTGTCATTTTACCTTGGTTGATCAGTGTTGAGTCTTAATTTCCATTTCTTTCAGTCTAATTTCTTTTTCAGCTTCAATACGAGCTTGTTCTTTTAGGCTTCGATTCAAGCTTCTTCTTTTTCTTTCTTTTAGCTGAATCTCTAATTTATCTTTATCACTCAACCCTGATAGGCTTGTGGGTACACTAGAGTATACCTCAGGCAACAAATCATCATTGACTTGTATTTCGATAATGCACTTTTTAGTTAATTTTTTCTCATTGATCTCTTAACTTCTAGTTACAAAACTTTGGCAATTTCGAGCAATTCATTTTTGTTATAACTTTCTAGTTGTTCGAGAGAGGGTGATTCAAGAAAATCTTGATAATTAAACATGATCAAATCTTGTTGGCACTGATAAATATGAATTCAATTGTGGTTTAAATTTTTAATTTAAATTGAATTTCGTCTTTGATTCAGATCTCAAACATGAGCCCCCAATTTATTATGTTACATATTACAATTTCAAATAGCCTGAAATTGAGTTAAATGATGCTTTAAATTTAGTAGTTAAATTGTATTTTGGATTTAGCAGTTAAGTAAAAACCGATATATAGTCAGTTTATGATAATTGCAAACAAAATTAATACACACAGTTTTCTTTT